GAGTGACCTGAAATCAAGTAAAAGAGAATACAGATGTCTGGGCCAGTATGACGAGGAGATGGAGGAAGCAGCTGATTAGAATGGAGGCTCGTGCAAGGGCGTTTTTCCTGTGGTATTTCTATGCAAGACCAGCTTTTCTTTGGTTTTTCTGATTACTGTGAGATCAAGGAAAGGATGTGCAATGCGGAGCTGCCCCCAAGCAGGAAAGGAAACATGATGAGGAAAGGAAACACAGACACGGTCAGAAAACACAGTATAACATGCCAGGTATTGATCAATGAAGTTGGTAGAAAAAAAATAAAGTGCAGAATAATTGTAGACCCCAGGGGGACCCCAGCAACAGACATATCAGCCTGGTGACCTGTTAGGGCAAAGTCTTTGTAGAACCACATGCATTAAACTTATCACCATTACTATTAATTTATATGGAAACATTTTTGAGTCGCGAGACCCAGAAAATAATCTACCAAATGGGAACAGTGTACTTTTAAATAGTGGGGGAAGCCTGTATTGAAATGGGGTGATAGGTAGCTAATGTCCCTACCTGTTCTCTCCTAGGACCCTCCACTAGACACTCCCCTCCTGCACCCCCCACTTTCCCCAAATACCCTGAACCACAACTTCCATAATCCAGCTACTAAAGGGTTAACACTGGAGACTAGGAGGACTTCTGAGGTCCTCCTCCAGCAAAGACTAGTGTCCTATTGTGATTCTGTGGTGCCTCATTGTTCTAAATGTTAAATATTTTGAATATCACCCCTTACTATAAGCAGTAATTGCCTCAATCATGAAGTACATAGGGACTACAATCATATACAAGAAAAGATTTTTTTTTCCACAATAAATTGTGATGTACCTTAAGATTTTCAGGGTCTTGGGCAGCAAAGGTAGTTGTGTTGAAATTACTAGCATTCACTCTCATCACGGCCACAGCCAAAGAAGGGGCGGTTAGACTTATGGTCTTGTTTGAAAATTTCAGCTGTAAGCCGATGTCATCCACCACTTTCAGCAATCTGTAAAGACAGGTGGCAGTTCAGATCGGCATTTTGTTTTCCTCAGTCTAAGCAGAATATAGAGTATCAACTTGAGAAGACATTATGAACCTCAGAATGTGGGAGAAAAATACTTGGCCACAAAGAATCATGTGAGAAGCACTGTTATCATTAGCAGCTCCCCTCTCATGACCACGTCGGTTTGCTACATCATACCTTTGAGCCAGAGGGGCCAGCAAGGCAGGTGGGGAACGCAGGAGTTTGCTGACTTGGTTTATCATTTGTTCTGCGAGATTAGGCTCCAAGCAGCCCAAGGACAGAATCTTCTCCATCTGGGACACTTCGTCCTCAAGATCAGAAACAACGATGCTGGTGGTATCAACAATTTCTGTAACAGAGAGCCAAAGCACTTTATGAATACACCATAGAAAATTCACTAGTAAAGAAGCACAGGCAATCACTCTGACCCAGCCGACCTTCTCCTAGGTATTTGTCCCATTGAAATGAAAACATGTCTCAAGAAGACTTGTTCAGGAATATTTATAGTGGCTTTTGTCATAACAGTCCCCAAACTGAAAACAAACTAAATGTCCACAACAGAAGAATGGACAAAAGATGGTCAATCCATACAGTGATAAAAAGGAACAAGCTACTGCATCCAAGCAATAGCATGGATGACTCTCCAGTTCTCCAATATGTAATGGTAGGTGAAGATGTCAGATTCAAAAGGCTATATATATACTGTATGATTCCCTTTGTAGGGTATTCTAGAAAAATTGAAATGATAGGGAAATAAAACAGATCAGTAGCAGCCAGGGAGTTGGGGGAGTGGGTGAGAGTTGACTACAAAATGATACAAGGGAACTTTGGGGGTAGTGTAAATATTATATATTGTGATGACAGTCATGAATTGTGGGTATTTACCCAATCTCACAGAACTATAAAAATGTCATTCATCCCTAGATCTGGATGAATTTTGATGCATGTAATTCTACTTTAAGAAACCTAAAAAAATGTAAAAGCACCTCAGTATTTATTTAGTTTATATTCATATAAGCACAAATACATTTAATTTATATCATACATACAGGATTTTATGGGGTATGAGAAGCTCTTTTTGTGAAGAAGAGAATATTATGAAATTAATAGCTGGCCTGCCAGGCGTGAGCCTGATTTTTAATAGTTGGGTCACAATGATTACAAACCTGCCTAATCACTAAAAAGTCTCAATTCCACCACAATAACATCCTAGTTTTTATTTTGCATATTCCATTCTAATCTTTCTCCATGTGTTTTGATACACTATTATTACCATGGTTGTACAAACTGTTTATTGTGCTATTTTCACTTCGCTCAAGGCGTGAAGAATGCCCACAAGTTTCTGTCTACTGGTTCCCATGCGCAGCTGCGTAAGACTCACCGGCTTGAGGAAGCATGTGCTAGTTCATTATTCCCCTCTGGTGGAACTGTTAGGTTATACTACTTTTTAGCTGCATCTTTTACGCATATGTCGCTTCTCCTGCCTGAAACTGAAGTCCCGGGACACAGGAAGCCACCTTGCTAGCCTTTCTGTGTAGCCTGGGAAGTTGGTCGAAGGGAACAGCTGTGGAAGGTGGACTTTTAGATGTAGGCTAAGGAGCCTAGTGCAGTTAGTATGGATAATTTCATCTTTAAGTACAGCAGGCGGAGGCAGCAGGAGCTAAATGGCTTATCCCAGATGATGTGGCCCGTGAGGGCCCATGCAGACCCATAACAGGCCTTCTCAGTGCTTTTCCCCTCTTTGCGGCTACCTAGGCTCTATCGCAGCTCTGTCACTGTGCTACTGACTGATTTTCAAAAACACCAATTTTTCCTTTTATCGGTCTTAACGAAATTATTGTGTTCAACAGTTCAAAGCTTTTCTCTTCACAACATTGTAATCAGTGACCCAACAACCTTTTAGAGGAGGCAAAAACCTATAAAATGAAACATCTTGATAAAGTGAAGTCTGTGCTTGCCTCGGTTATTTCTCTACCCTCCTGCTCAAAAACATCAAAAGCCATACCGATGTGCCGTGAATGCTGAGGGACAGCCCTAGAAGTCAAGCATGCATCGTGAAGGGGAGGCTCAGTGTGGCCTTGTTACAGGTATCTTGTCAGGCAGGCTGGCAGTTGCACTTTCGGTAGCCAGAATTTCAACAAATATAGGAGCACTTGGCTCCTTCTATTTACCTGTCTTGTCAGCAAATGTGCCGGTCTCGATGACATTCACAGGGGCAGATGTGGTGGAAGAGGGAAGTGAGGATTTCACAGATGGCAGGGTGTGGGAAAGATCAATTTGGGGTGTAGGAGAAAAGACTGTTCCAGATTGGGGGGGCATATCAATGGCAGGGCTGGAAGCTATGGATGCTGAAGGCTGGGAGAAGAAAGATAAATCCTTTCTGTCGCAGAGGGAGGGGTCTGGGTCACAGGTGGATGATCCAGAGGATTAGCTAAAGAGAAGGCACTGGAGACCTGGGAAAGAATGGTGGTCTGAGGAGCGACTGGGATGGAATTGCTGGAAGAAACTGGTGAGCCATGTGGATGACCAGAAAAACAGACAACAGGATCCTGCAGGTCACTAAAAGGAAAGAACCAGAGAGATGCACATGAGTCATGAATGAACTACAGACAGGTGAATTTCCTCCTCCGGCAATTATCTGATACCACATTGGTGATGTGGCCCCATCAAGGACCTGCCACTCCTAGCCTCTGCCACTGCACACCTCTGTGCACCTGCCACAGGCCCCTTGCCCCTGCCCACTTCCCCGCCTCCTCCCTTGGAGAAGAATTAGCCAGGAGGATGCTCCTGTATGAACCCCAGTTCTGGTTCACACTTTCCCCTCTGCTCTGGGGCTCTCTGCCTTAGCGCTCATCACTCAATGGGAGGCGCTTGTGCTTCTGGGGATGGGGAGCTGTTAAATGCCGTGTAAAGCAAGGGGCAGCAGGTTCCATGTACTAGGAAGCTTTCTTTCTTTTTTCATTAAAATTTTACAAAATTGAATCTCAAAGAAGTGGAATCGCATGCCCAAACTGTTCCAAACTTACTGAAAAGTTTTCTAAAGCATGAATACCAACATATTTTCCTTTAATATTCAAATCTACATTGACAAAACTGCCTCATCATTTCTGCAATTGATTTGACTATGAAGCTGAAGTGTATCCATTTCAAACTGTGTCTGTCCATAATAGATTCACAAACTCTTGTGTCAACTCTGTGTTAACGTTGGATTCAAAAGGGTATGGCGGGCCTCCCCGGTGGCGCAGCGGTTGAGCGCTGGGTTGCGAGGCTGCCCGCGGCCTCTGAGGCGCCGGTTCGATCCCCGGCTGCTCCCCGGCCACCGGAGGAGGGTCCCACATGGCGCGCAGACCTCTCCTGCCGCCCGCTGCTCCCCTCAGCAGTGTACTTCGGTTCTTCTGCCTGCTCTGCTCCCTGCTCTGGCTCTGGTGAATTCTCTCACCCTCCGCGCTTCTGACTGTACCCAGTGCATGTATAAACAAAACAAACAAACAAACAAAAAAATAAAAACATGCCTCTATAAAAAAAAAAAAATTTAAAAAAAAAATAAAAAAAAAAAAAAAAAAAAAAAAAAAGGGTATGGCATAAATTGAAAAGCAGCTGTAGATTTACCAGTAACAAGAAAATGTTCTTCAAATATACAAAAAAATGTTCAATCTTAAAAAGAGAAGCTCAAATTAAAATAACAGAGATACCATTTCTCATCCACCAGACTGGAAAGACTTAAAAATGTGACAACACTTTCAGTTGGTGAGGCTATGGGAAGTCAGAATATTTTTAACGCTCTCCAGGTGATTATAATGTGCAACCAAAATTGCAAACCACTGGTTTTAGGCAGTGGTCCAAATGGAAACTTAAACAACAGAAAACTGCATTTTCTCTAAAATTGAAAGACCTTCTTCACTGTATAAATTCCAAATTTCCTTAGCCAGCATGGTGATTAAATGCCTTTTTTTCCCCCTTTTTTTGTAGGAAAAAGGTTAGCCCGGTTGCTTGCTACATACCACTGCAGTTTTTCTAACTCTTCCGGGGAGGAAGGCAGGATATCCTGACAGAACAGCAGCACTGTTCTGAAGGAGACAAAAGGAAAAGAAAGAAGAAAATTCAAGAATAAGGCAAGGTAAAAGCTTGCGTCCATCAAGTATTGCTGTTCTTACAATGACTGCATTTTAAAGAACATGTGTAAAATAGATGATAAAATTAATTGTATGCTTGTTATGTTGACAATTCCATATATAAAGTAGGTGCTCAAAATTATTGAGTGAATAATTTGGGGGTTTGTATGCACACAATATCAGTTGCTCTTCAGCGTCTCCTAAGAGAAATTGAGAAGTCTGTCTCAGCAGCAATAGATCCAACTCTCCAAATAGAATTCTACCTTTTGATAGGTTTTGTTTTATCTTGTTTTCAAATATATACAGAAACTTTTTGAAGCAGGAAAAAACACCTTCCAGAGCACCCCCAAAAGTGCCCAAGGACAAAAGTCAAAATAGAAAGCTCTAGCATATGTAAATTCTTTAATTATCTTTTCAGTTTTAAAAAGAACACATCAAAGTCATGTGAAAATGAACAAAGCAATAAAATGGAGACAACTTACCCATGGGCTGAATGCTCACTCCTTTCAAAGCATCCATTACAGTACATATGTTCGTGGTCTTATGCAGTTTTATCGTGAATGTGCAATTTAATGTGCTGCAAAGACAAATACATATAATCACAATGTTACTAAATTGGAAGCCTACTACATATTTGTTATTGCTTTTGCAAACTTACAGTGAGGAAAGGGGACACTGAAAATGGTAACTTGTGATGTCACTCCAAGAAGCTTGTGAACACTCACTGGCCATGGCCTGAACTTTACCCAAAAGAGAAAGAGGTAATTTGGGGAGAGGTGATAGAGTTATATATCCACAGAGGTTGCAAACCAGAGAACGTCTGAGCATACAGCTGCTGGGCCATTTTGCCTGCCCACACAACGAACAGGCAGGGTGGAGCTTAGTTGCAAAGACAAGCATCTGGACATCTAGTCTCACCACCACCTGCCGGCTACTTGCTGGTGACTGGAGGCATTTGAGTTTCCACCATGGAACCCTTTCTCATACCAGCCTACATGAACATCAGGATCTCGTGAATCTAAACTCTCTCTGGCAACTCAATCTAGATTATCGGATAACTAGGAATTGAAGACATTGGTATTTTTTTTCACTTTAGTCTTGATTTAAATGAAAAAATATTAGTGTTGCATATAAGGAAAAGAGGCAAGTGAAATGAACTAAATAGCTGTAGTGCATGGGGATTTAATCTACAGTTTCATGGAAGATTTGCCATTTTTCTGTATCATTGAATAGTTTGTTGAGTAGGAACTATCATTTTCTAGAACTTTACTCTCATGGGATGCCAGGCTTCATGTAGCAGGATTGCTGCCCTGCTTATGCTATGCAGCCAGGAGAGCCAACACACACAATTTAAAATGATAATCTGTGCCATCTCAAATAATTGTCAGGCAATTTCTAATTTATTCCTGTATGCACTTTAAGATGTATATATTCTTTTCTTTTTGTTTCTAATTTTTCTTCTCCTTTTCCTCCTTTCTTCTCCCAACTCCATCGTTATGTTCCTGCTTCTCTGGCTTGACCTTCACCCTGACTGAACCACTGCGAGCCATACCCACTGGGACTAAGTACACTCATGATCCTTAGCCTTGTAGAACAGAGGCAAACAGCCCACACCCCCCACTCCCTTCTGTGCTTCATAAAGAATGAGAACATGGATGTGACAGAGTAATGAGTGTTTGGAAAACATACATTTTATATATATATATATATATATATATATATATATATATACTCCAAAATGACATATAAATACATTAATATGTATTTATTTTATAGGAATGCTTTTGAATTTGCAACCTAAGACTCCTGGATATTTATTACTTATGAGTAGAGAAATAATGATATTTATGAAAGTATTAAAGTGACTGACCTTTGAGCCTCTGCTGTAGCACACACTATAAAATAAGTCTGAAACAAAAAGTATATGTTACTTTGACAGTTGAAAATGTCAGACAAGACACCCCAGGATTAATCATAGCATTACAGAATCTTAGGAGCCATCTGTTTCACATTCCTACCAGATTCCTGATGTATCATCACAGTGACTCAGGCCATACAAGCTCTGTGTGCAGCTCCAGTGTCAGGGAACTCACTACCACACAAGGGGGCTCATTCTCTTAGAGCCCTTCATTTAAGAAATTTTGATTTTACATGAAGGCAAAGCTACCTCCTTGTGATGTCCATCCATTGCGCCTCGTGCTTATTTTGGGAGTAATGGAACTAGTCCATTCTCTCTTTTGCACTATAGATTTGGGGGGATTTGAATATATATCTTCTCAGGAATGCAGTACTCTGTGCTTTACCCCAAATCATAACAATTATAAAAAAGGGTCAGCATGTACCATGATTACCTCACTCAGGGTTTGCAGGGTTTTGTTGAGCTCTGATCGTCTGTTAATAAAATGAGAGAAATTGACAAGGAGAGGAACATTAGTTATGTTCAAATCAGAGCAAGTTGGATTTTTAGCAATTAAATGAAACATGGTATTTATTGCTTTCAGTGTTCACATTGAAGAAACATAGGATGTATGTTTAGAATCCTGTGTGGGGAAAATTAATTATTTATATGGCAAGAGAAAACTAACCAGACAGAAGCTGTATCAGTTCTAGCAACAGCAAGATATAAATCATGGTTCAACAATTTTGTTATTCATTTGGCCGCTGCAACCTCCAGGCAGCCTCTTCTGGCAGAGAGCCAGAGGAAGAGTTAGCCCAAGGCCAAATTTTGGAGAGGGGTCATTCACCCTGGGGAGCCTGTACTCTGATTTCTTCCTCCTTGCCTCTCCAACTGACCCAACCATCCTGCCTTCCCCTCCGCACTACACCTCTTTAGGAATTCCCCTCATCTCTCTTCCCATCCCATTCCAACTTTATTGCTTCAGTGCAGCAGAGCTTCACATGAAGTTAGGATGAAATAAATCTAGTTAAAGAATTCATTCTAATTATATATATATTTAATTTAATTTAATTTAAAAAGAATTCATTTTAAGGCAGTGGTTCTCAACCAGGGGAGACTCTGCCCCCCAGGGGACATCTGGCACTTTGGATTGTCACACTTAGAGATGGGTGCTACTGACATCTAGGGGGTGGGAGCCTCGGCTCTATTACATATCCCACAGTACAGAGAACTACTGGGCCCAAAATGGCAACACTGCTGACCTTGAGAAGCCCTGGTCCAAGGAATGTGGCACCGGGGAAGGTACAGAGGGAAGAAGAGAAGGATGGTGGCAGTAATAGGCAGCTAGTGTTTCCAGCCACCTTCATCACTGTGTAAATGTCCTGTACACTGGAGCCTTCCTTCTGGAGTTTTCCCTGGCTTCTCCACTCAGTCTGACCCCTTCCCTGCTCTAGATATTCACACACTTAGAACATCCATGTATACTCAGAACAGTGTACATGTGACCTTCATTGTAGGCATCGTATTGTTATCACTTCTTTGCTTTCTGCATCTTTCATACAAGGCTTTAGACTTTAAGTCTCGAGATTTGCCTTATACTGGAACCAACTGGGGACATTCAGAAATACCAATGCCTGTGTCCAGTCCTCAGACACTAATGTGGTTGTTGTGGCGTATGCCTGGGTATCAGGATTTTCAAATGTCCCCCAGGCGGTTTTAATACTCAGTCAGGCTGGAGAACCACTGGTCTAGAGCCAGTTTTCCATTTCATGTATGCCCATGTATCCCCAGGTATGCCAGTGTATCCCCACATGTGCCAGTGCCTGGCACACAGTAGGTTATCAACAAATGCATGGTAGCATTAAATTAATTAATCGCTATTTTAAGTCTAATAATTACAATGAATTACAAGTATGCTAAGTTGTATTCTATTTATAAATTTGTGAATTAGAAAAAATGTTTCTTATCACTATTATTGCCCATCTAAAATTTAAAATCCCTCTAGGACATTGGTATCTTCTGATTTTTATTTTAATACATATCTTCAATAGTTAGAAAAACTAGATTTTCATCAGAAGGTTAAAAAAAAGACATAAAGGACATGAACAATAGCTGGCACTCCCCCACCCCAAAACCCCTTTCAATCCCAGTTCTCACTAGTTTAACTTTTTGCCACTATAAACTCAGTGGAGCCCTAGGGATGTTTGATATCCACCAGGTGGAACCCTGATGTTCTTCTCTACCTAGGCATTACTGAATCATCACAAGCAGCCAATCAAAATGATTCATTTGAAAGGAGAGTTTTTGTTTTTGTTTTTTTTGCATGGGAAGATTTTTCTCTTCAGTGTCATCACAGATCCTTCCTTATACTTTTGTATTTGGTTCAAATGTTTACAAAAACTTTATTTGAGGGGTGGTAGGAAGGTTGAGAGTAAATTAAGCTCGTCTCTGAGGATGCTTCATGCCAAGAGAACAAAGACTTGAAGTTTCCTTTCCGGTGACAGTCAGGGTAAGACTGTCTTCTGCTCTAGTTCAACCTACTGGCTGACTTTGTGACCTATTGTCTAACTGGTGGCATCAATATTTGTAACGCCTTTCTCATTGCCTGAGATTGTCCTTGTAAGCTAAGGTCTCTTAACGTCTCTGACTTTTGGATCACTGATGCTTCATGAAAGAATGAACACATGGTATACACAGAAGCCTATCTTGAACTCTTCTTTCAACCCTGATAGCTACCAAATCATATTTAAATTCCAACACCAATTGAAATGGAGCTGTTAATTTCATGGCATCAAATAGAACAGCCTCAAAGGACTTTAGTTAATGACAAAAATAGCTCAACAAGTATCTTTCCATAGTTGATGTCTAAGATTAAGTCAAACAGTAGATTACTCACTTCAGTTCACTTAGAGACTGGACTCCAGTTATGCTGTCATTAGCCACATTTTGATTCTGTTAAAAGCACAAAGTCATTAAGAATACAGCAAAAAAATGTTTTGTTTTTTGACATTCTCTAACAGGAAATTGCTGTTCAGTTTTGTTGGCCACCCAAAGAACTACATCCCCAAAACTATGAATCCTAACTGCATGAAATATTGTCCAGCAAATGATAAAATCCATATGACTAAGCCAGTTTTTTTTTTGTTTTTCTTTGAAAAATATTCTGATCAACAAGTCTGATATGCTCATTTCTGCCTTTTGTCATTCCAAGAGTTCCTCCAAAATAACTATTGAAGTATTCCCCACAAAAGGCCCCAGATTTAAGTAACAGACTCTAATATAAAAAGGTGAACTTGCAGCAGCCATCATTGTATGGCTGCCACCCAGCTCAGTGTCTGGTACATAGAAGATGCTCAGGAAATAGTCACTGAATGAGCAAAACCCATTTACCTGGATCCTCTGGACTAATTTAGATTAGGGGAAGGCTCACATTTCCATATCCAGATCCCAAATCCCCTATGGGATGAACAGGATCAGATTCAGAGACTATTCTTATATTCAACATATTACTTATTGCAAGGAGCTTCCAATATAATTTTAAATCTTAGCTGGTAATAGAGTTGTGTCAGATTATTCTTATTCAGCAACAAATCTAGTGAAAACTAACATAATTATTAGCGGAATACCACAGTTATTATGAAGCCAAGCCCTCCTGGCATAGCCAGGGATTCAACAACACACACTCTATTTAAATTTGGTCATAAAGTCACATCACCCAAAGCAGTGATAGTGAAGGCAAAGATAAACAGCTGGGACTACATCAAATTAAAGAGCTTCTGCACAGCAAAAGAGACAATAACAAAAACAAAGAGAAACCCCACCAACTGGGAGAACATTTTTGCCCCCAACACTAATGATAAAGGACTGATCACAAAAATCTGCAAAGAGCTGATGAGACTCAACAACAACAAAGAAAATAATCCAGTCAAAAAATGGGCAGAAGAGCTAAAAAGAAACTTCTCTGAAGAGGAAATGCAAATGGCCAACAGGCATATGAAAAAATGTTCAACATCACTTGTCATCAGGGAAATGCAAATCAAAACTACCATGAGATACCATCTTACACCAGTGAGAATGGCACATATTAAAAAAACTAGCAACAACAAATGTTGGCGAGGGTGTGGAGAAAAAGGAACTCTTCTGCACTGTTGGTGGGAGTGCAAACTGGTCCAACCACTGTGGAAAGCTGTGTGGAGATTTCTGGACCTACTAAACATAGAGCTTCCATATTATCCAGCAATTCCACTCCTAGGTATTTACCCAAAGGACACAGAAACATCAATTCCAAAGAGCACCTGCACCCCTATGTTTATAGCAGCACTGTTTACAATAGCTAAGCTTTGGAAACAACCCAAATGCCCAAAAATAGATGACTGGATCCAGAAGATGTGGTCCATATATACCATGGAATATTACTCAGCATTCAAAAAAGATAAACACATGCAATTTGCAGCAACATGGATGGCGCTGGAAGGGATCATGCTCAGCGAAATAAGCCAAAAAGAAAAAGAAAAATACCGGATGGTCTCACTCATAACAGGAATCTAGAAAACTTAAATAAGGGACCAGGAAAATGAATAACTATAAGAAAGTGAAAATCAAAATCAACAAAAAACTATGAACCAGAGACACTTTTAGGGGGGCGGGGGCGGGAGGGGAGGGATTGGGGTCAGAATGGGGGGGGCTGCAATTGTATGGGGAATATAACAATAAAATTTATTATTTAAAAAAAAATAAATAAATAAATTTGGTCATAAAGTTAAATAAGCCAAATATCACAAATAATTTGAACCTTAAACAAAGATTTAAATACATGCAAATTCGCTTTTTAAGACTGCAATAAGAAAACTCTTTAAAACGTACCTGAGTAACATTGCTTTCTTCGTCATATTGAAACATTATCTCACCTCTAAAAAATGCTGAAAATAAGTTTTGAAAAACAAATTAGAGACTTGTGTCCTTAGAGGTTGAGAGTTAATACAACACTGAAAAAGAATATCAAATTACTTTATAAACAGGGTTTCTTGAAATTCTTTGTTTTTAGTCACATTTACTCAATGAATATCAATATAATTTTCAGGAAATATGAGCTACATATTTTTACGTGGGCATTCAGAAAGAGAAAAATTGTCCCTTTGTCAAGACATTTTATCTCTACATGCTTCTTATAAGAGTCTTGTTTGCCTTTATGATGCTAACTAGTAAACAAATATTTTTAAGTTGCTAGAGATGTATTTACACAATCAAGGAGGGAAGGAAAAGGTGTTTCTCAGAAGTTTAACAGCCTTATGGAAGTCCACTTATTCCTAGATGGGTTATTTCTATTTTTCTTTAAAAATACAGCTACCAAATGCAATCTCTTCATTTTTGAAAAAAAAAAAAACCTTGGTTTTGAAATCTTATTTAGGAGATACTCAGTCTTACTAGGCCCTTCCATGTATACAGGAGGTACACACACATAGTATTATTAAACTTCATTCTGGTTTTTTCTCTTGTCAATCTGTCTGATGCCTGTTTGATTATTTCCCAGCCTAGAAGAAGCAGAGGGGGAGAGGATGATTTCCTTTGCACCCTGAAAATTTGGCAAGTCAGCCAGGAGACCTATTAAAAGACTGAATGCTGCTTGTTTCCTAGGATGTCTGCAGACGGCATTGATCTAGATCTGAACAGCAAGCAAGGTAGATTTTTACCATATCAGATTACTGATCTCTCTCTCTCTTTTTCTCTTTCCAAAAATCTAATGGAAACCCAATGAAAAATATTTTTATTTCTCGCTCTAAGATTGGTTTAAAAAATATATGGGTGAATTTATTTTCTTGGGTATTTTGCTCTTCTTTTGGTTTAAGGACTTTGTTAATTTTGATTGAGCCATTCTTTTATTTTTGTTGTTCTCGTTTTATTTTTCTGATTCTCATTTAAAAGAATTTGCTTTCCCTGTCTTTTCTTTTGGTGTCCCAATTGAGATTTTGTTTTCAGAAATTGTCTTTCTTAAATCTTTTTTGAGAAGTGACATCTGGCAGTGTTTGGTTGACTTTTGGATTTTTGTAACTTGTTCCCTGCCCTGTTACAGTCTCTGCATGCATATCCGTGAAATGCATCAGGAAGGCAGCAAAATAGGCTGTGGATTTGAGCTTTGAATAGGTTTTTTTTTTTTTTTATGACCTCCTCATCATAATTCTGTCTTATATGTGGTTGAAATTTTCAACTCAAGTTAAGGTAACAAGTTCTTTTTCGACCTCAAGGTAATGTTCTGTTCTGTTCCATGGGTAGGAAATTCAGAATCCAGGTTTCTGCCGCCTCCCCCGGACCCTACCCCTATGTTGTAGTCTTGAGGTTCCGGTAAAGGTATTTCTGCCTCCAGGTTGTCTTCTATGTAGTTGTTAAAAGAAGGAAAAATCTTAATGTGCATTAAGGTAAAAACTATTACTAAGAAAACCCTGGAAGCCAAAAAGGAACAAATAAAAGTGGCAAATTTGGTGGGCATGGGTCACCCCCCTGCAGCAAGTCTCCTAGGTTATAGTTCTGGCTCCAAAAGAGACAAGGCATCGCTGAAAGCTGTTAATATGCATCAAGTCTTTCCTTTTGTCGTGTCTCATGCTGGTTTGAATCTTGGTTAAGCCATAAAAAAGTATCTTGGCTAGCTTAGGGAATTTTTTTTTAAATAAGGTGAAGTATAGAAATCAGACTTAAAATTATGTCTTCATAGAATTTTGCTTTTGTAAAATTCTCACTGGGCCAATAATACCAAAGATATCTTTAAGGTTACATTGGTCCCTGGGGAAATCTTTTAAGCTTCCAAAACTTGGTGCATCAAATTGGAAACCATGAATTTAAAGGGAAGAAGTTTAAATGGGCTAATTAGGGTCAATAAACAGCAAAATGTAAAAAATAAAAATAGCATCTACTTATCATGCCCCCCAAAAAACCCAGCAAAATGTGAGATTGAAAAAAATCTCACTTTCTTGTTCTCCTCCTTATGCACTAATACCAACTATCCTATCTATCTTTTATATTCTTTGTCAGAAAGAAAATTATAAAATTGGATGATGCTTTCTTTCCACCCTTGTCATTTTGTTAGGGAATTGTTAGGGGGAAAAGGATGTCCCAAAGCAAATTCCATATAGGCTTTGTGGACTCCACCCCCACCCCAGGTAAAAGCCAAAGACACTGGGAACTCCAAATCCCATCACCACCAAAGGGAAGGTGGCTGGGACCTGAGGGTGGGGTTAAGCAGCCAGGTGGATACAAAAGGCAGACACGTGGGTTTTGGGGGGCTCTCCATTTTTGGGCTCTTGGCCAGCAGCAGTGTCCGGTCAGCTCTGAGAGTGACTTTGGGGTTTCCAGGTCGTCGGATCGGGTAGGACGTATTAAAGACTTTATTTCCCTATTTTCTCCCTGAGTTGTACATTTTCCTTATTTCCTTTTCTCTTGTAAATAAACCTTTTATTAACCCCTTTTGCATGTGTCTGTAGTAGAGTATTTATAAGTCCCTTTAAAGCGCGCGGGTGAGGACCCACAGCCAGGAACCCGTTTAATATCGGGGTTGCTCTATAACAGCTTGGCGCCCAAACGTGATTTGCAAGTTTCACCTGTGGCTGACCAGCCCAAAGTAATTTTTCTTGCGTTGGTCACCATAAAAGCGCATTAGGTCTGCAGGACTCGCAGTGAAACTCTTTGTTTCACGTCTTGAAAAGTTTTTTTTTCCCCCCTAACAATTTCAAGAACTAGGTCTTCAATGAAGACAAGGGTCCATTTAAACACAGGTCTACAGCCAGCCCTCAGGGGGGTTATCTAAGGCTCTTGTTTTGTTATCCTTAAAATGGTTCTAGCCTTGGGGCCCATAAGGTTTTAATTGAAGTTAAATGGGACACTTATTCTAAAATATAAAACTCTTAATTTCCATCTTATATCAAAAATGTTCTTATTATAACACTAAACTACATTAAAATTTTATAGTTAAATGCGCATATCAACCTTTTAATATCGTGGAGGTTAAAACTTAAATTTTTTAAGGAATTAGATTAACAAGATAGAGTCTTTACAGAACCGAAAATATTGTTCCATAACAATTCAAAGCCCACCTACCTAAAACCTCTCTAAGTATTTAGAAAGGATATCTAGGTCTTAGAAAGCTCAAGTCTATCTCTGTAATGCTAATTTTCTTCCCCCACCTTTTCTCAGAGCCTAAGAGCCATTCTTTAAAATTCAAATTTAGTGCCTTAACTTAAAAAAGGGGAAAAGGAAAAAACTATTTAAAAATTAATTTGATAAAAATTCTCATGTCTTCATAAAAAATATAAAAATAAAAACTTGTTTAGTGAGTGCCCACATACGTGTCTGTGCGTCTTCGTGCATGCCAACATCCATAATTTCTCTCCCTAACTCCTTCCTTCTCAGAGTTTGGCCTTCAGTCCTGTTGAGCACATCTTGAGTTTCATAAATATGCTAGGAGCACAGTGGTAGCAAAACCACCAGGAAACCACTACCTTTTGACCCTCAGTCTAACCCCGCCTGCTCATCTCCCTGTTTCTTCACTTGCCTCCATTTCCTTTAATGAACCCCGATTGGAATCTGTGAGAAGTGAAGGTTTCTAGTTTCTGGCAGGATACCATGGAATGTCTGGTGCCAAAAGAGTTGGTCTCCTGTTGAGGTTGTTTTCACCAGACACTAAAACAAATGGTCAATTCAGCCACTTACTTAGGGAAAACATTACTCCAACCAGCTTCCTGGCATCTGTTATTCAAGATGACCAGGTTTTTTTGACTGAATGTTCAATTTTCAAATAGTTATCAAACATCATGTAGACACAACACCACACTAGACATTAGTCACCAGTTCAAAACATGGACGAAGTGCAAAAATAATGACATTATAGAGAAATCAGTAAAGAGAAGAGTTATACAATATATGAAAGTGAAATGTAGCCAGCATTTAAACAGAACCAGCCAACGTGTTCTACCTGGCGATAACATCAGCAGAAAGTTCATATAAGCAAATTTCACATTCACACAAATAGAAAGTATTTGTGGAACATTCTTTCAACAGAAAGTTTTCTAAACTATCCAACCTTAACTTAGTTTATTTGAAATTATTTCCTATGTTTTTCAAATAAGTTATTAAACTGTTCGAAGAAACAGAATAAAAGGAAAACATTCCTATAACATTTTTTTTTTAATATTGCTGGAGTCATACTAAGACTTTAATGTTATAAACTACCTTTTTACCTTCCTATTTTCTCTTCGCATGATCTCTCGTCCAGTTCTAACCTGACACACCATGTTTTTCTGTTTTTCACTTCTGCCTTCATTGATTTTAACAAGGAAGGGGACCCAGAGAGCCAAAGCAACGTGAGGAAAGTAGTTGTTTCATTCCCTCTGGCCCATGGCAGGAGGGAAAATATTCCCATTTCAAAAATAGCATGTTCTGAAGAGATTTCCATCTCAGTTTTAAAAAATAGTGGACAGTCAGAGATGGCAAAATACACTACAGAACTACTGGAATTAGAATCCAACTAAACTAGGTGTACGTGAAGTTTTCACCATTTTTGTGAGTGGTTTGTTTGATTTTTAGCAAAAGACAACATCAGGTTTCTAAGCTATAACACTTAAAGTCCTATGCAGAAACTTGAGGGATTTATATACAAGAAGTGATTTTCAATAACTATTAAGTTCATTATTAATTATGCTCATGAACCAGCTTTAAGGGTATTAGTTACGGATTTAAAGCTGTGGTGAAAAGTTTGGTGCAGAGCTTCATGTTCTCATATTAAGGAAGTTAATCCATCAACTCACTAGGCGATGAGAAGAATAATTCAGTTAGATCTAAAATTTGGTTTTGTTTTCATTCAGGATGCTGGTAGCCAGGTGGTATGAAGAGACAGATCAGAGAGGCACATACTCAATAAGAGAAAAAAACAAACCATTTCCCTCTGTGGAGCTAATTGATTTAGTAATGTGTAATGTACACAAGAACTAACCTGAGTCATTGCAAATAGATGACAAATTGCAGATACTTCTCTGGGGTTTGACTCCTGCAAAGAAAACACAACCCAACCCGTTAAGCACATCAATACCTGTACTTCCATACTACATTGTCAAGAGAATTACAAATCTTGCCATCAAACATGGACCAAAAATATTACAAGTTGCACATAATTGGCTGGATGAATTCCAAAGACTGAAGGAATGGAAGTGTTCCCTTTTGTTAGGGGGTCAGCTATGGAACTAGATTTTTTACTATTCTTCAGACTGTCAATGTTGATCCCCATCTCCTCCCTAACATTTCTTTGTCCCATTCCCAATGAATCCCTCTCCTGGCCAATGTAAAAAGAACAGCAAGAATACAAATTGAATAAAGAAACCTTAAATAAAATAACCCTTACTTATAGATCCTCCTTTTTCTGAGTAGTGGAGTCCACAAACACTCTAATGCTGGTCCTATCTCTTTATGCAAATGTATGCAAGAAATAATACTCATGTCATGCTGTCATTTGCATGGGCAAAAACTACAAAAATTATTTGCTGAGTACCTACCATAGTCTATAGGCTTTGGGAGGTGCCAGGTACAGAATTGTACCCTGCCCTCAGAATTGACCTAGAATTTGGGAGGTTCCAGGTACAGAACTGCCCCTATCCTCAGTGAGCTTACAATCTAGTACTTGATACTGGCCAGTAAATAA